TTTTTTTTTTTTTTTTTAATGACAACTTTTGAAAGAAACTAAGCCAGTTGTCTCGTGGAATGTTTCACATTTTGGATTTGTCTTATTTCCTTGAGGTATCATGCAACTTGTTGCTCTGTCTCCTGAATTTCCTGTAAACTGCAAATTAAGTCTAAAGGATTAATTATATTCAGGTTTAACATTTTTGGCAAGGATACTTCATAGGTGATGCTATGTACTTTATCCTGTATCCTTTGACAAGGCATATAATGCCAGGCTACTTTTATTCACTTTGCTTACTAATTTCACTACTTTCTCATTACTGTTTTATTCTTACATTTGTACTTTCCTTGAGTATGTTCAACATGATGACAGTTCTCCCTTAATAACATCTTAACCTTGGGCTGTCAGTTTAGAATTTTCCCCAGCTCTTGGGATAGAAACAAAGAAAATCAGGCAATCAACAAAACTGCTGAGTTTTGTGTACTGGGTCCTGCTTTCTCTACTGGGACTCTGTTCTCCTTCCTTCTAGCACCAACAGTTCTTCAAGATCTCTTCTCCTTGGGCAATGTTTTTCATCCTCTTCCCTCCTGCTCAGTAAAATTAAAATTTCCCAGTCTTCCCACTACAATTTTAGGCAGGCTGTTCCCTGTTTACTCTAGTTAATCTGATGAACAGGCTTTCGTGAGGATTAATACGAAGTGCCACATCAGAATAAATAATTACCATTTAATGCATGTCAGTGGTTTAATGTAGCATCCCCAAAGTATGTTTGTTTTCTAAGGACGAGAACAGCAGACATTGTTATGGAGATAGACAAGTATCATTAGTAGTAGGAAGCAGAATTGTTAGGTTAGAGCAAACATTGTCAGAGAAATGAGGTTTTATGCACACATAGAATGTTAAAAACAAACAACAGAACAGCTTCGATTTGATACGAAAATCAAGAGAGCTCTACTGCGGGTAGTAGAGGGCCCACAAAGGAGAAGGGTAGAGGGAATTCCACAGTCATTGTCAACTGACAATGGCATGATAATGGGTCTTTCTTCAAGATATTTTCCTTCTGAAATTCTCTCTCACTTGTTTCCGAGATAATACTCTGCTAGTCTAAAAAGGACTCCTGACTTTTTATCTGCTCTTCATGATAGAGATGTCCTCTTCATTATTATTAATAAACAAATAAAATTATTCACAATTATAATTAATAGCTATAAGGCTTATTATGTGTTGAGAATTGTGTCCAGCGTGTTATCTTATGCATCCAATCCTGTGAGGCAGATATTGTTATAATCCCCATTAAAATGAGAAAACTAAAACCCAAGTGTTAATAAATTGTCACAGAAGTAGTATGTCATGAATCCAAACCCATGGGTTTAATTACTATGTATGGAGCTTGCCACTAAAATTTTGGCATTATCCAAAGTTCTAGCCTTCATCCCTTTCTTCTCAAGGTCATATCTTTGTGTTTACAATTTCTTTAACCTTTCGTTACAGAACTGTATGCCTATTGTGTTTTTATTCTTTATTGATCTCTTCATGTACTTTTAAAACTAGCTACATTTCCTGGCCAGGCGCCGTGGCTCACGCCTGTAATCCTAGCACTCTGGGAGGTCGAGGCGGGCAGATTGTTTGAACTCAGGAATTCAAAACCAGCCTGAGCAAGAGCGAGACCCCCATCTCTACTAAAAATAGAAAGAAATTAATTGGACAACTAAAAATATATAGAAGGGCATGGTGGTGCATGCCTGTAGTCCCAGCTACTCGGGAGGCTGAGGCAGAAGGATTGGTTGAGCCCAGGAGTTTGAGGTTGCTGTGAGCTAGGATGACTCCACGGCACTCTAGCCTGGGCAACAGAGTGAAACTTTGTCTCAAAAAAAAAAAAAAAGTGTTAAAACTAGCTACATTTCCTACTGGAGGGTCAAGCAGACAGGGCAGAAACAGCAGTAATGCTAGTATTCTCCTCACTGAATCCTGTCAGGTGGCATGTGATCTCGATTTGTCCATTATTGATGACACTTGATCACTTCAGTAACATAGTGCCTGCCAAGCTTCTCAACACTAAAATTGCTCTAGTTCCTTTTGTAATTAATAAGCGTTTTTGCAGGGAGATACTTTGAAACTGTGTAAATATTCCAATCCTTAGCACAATTTCAATTTATATATTTACTTAATTTATAGTATTCAATGGGTTAAAATACATGATCTTTTTTTATTTTGAAGCTCAATTTATCCCTGATTTGCCCAGTGGGACAGAAGTTGGCCCCTTTCCTTTTAACATGCTGCATTATTCCTTGAGCATGTCTTTATTTTCTGGTATAACTAGAGGCTCCAGGCTCATCCTGTACTTTCTCTTCTCTAGTTCTGGAATCAATTACTTTTCCAAGAAGAAAACTGAAGTGGAGAATGGTATTTAGAAGCCAAGATCTAGGCTAGATGTTCTCATTGTTTTGTGTGTCATCACTACTCCCAGATACTCTCAGTGGACAGAATACATATGTATGTATATACCTGTATCTATTTCTACAAATACTAATAGATTGATACTTCCATTACTAGTCCACTATCAAAAGGTTCATTCTAGTTTTCTCTTTCCTTATTTGTAACTCTCTCCTTCTACAGGGAGAAATCTGGCTCCCATTTTCCCTAATATATTTACAGTCATGTGCCATATAATGACGTTGGTAGTGGTCCCATAAGATTATATTTTTCACTGTATCTTTTCTATGTTTAGATACACAAATACTTATCATTGTGTTGCAATTGCCCATGGTATTCAGTGCAGTAACATGCTGTACAGGTTTGTAGCCCAGGAGCAAGAGGCTATACCATATAGCCTAAGTATGTGGTAGGCTATACCATCTAGGGTTGTGTAAGTACACTGTATGGTGTTCGCATGATAAAATCACCTGATGATGAAATTCTCAGAACTATGCCTGATGTTAAGTGACACATGACTGTGCTTATTTGACCAAATCCTTATATAACCAATCTTTCATTGCCACTGCTGCTCCCTCCACATATCCCCATGTGACCTCCCAAGGCCAGGTGGCCCCCAGAGGACACGGCACATCAGGCCAGTGTCATGCTTGGATGCCCTCCTCGCCCAGACTCTAACATGACAACATACACCCTCTACAAAGTACATTTTAAAATACATCATCTCCTTTGCTTCTTATAAAACCGCTTTGAGTAATTAAGGAAGGTATTATTATCCATAATTTTTCTTTTAACAGATCTTTAGGGATCTAGGTCAAGAGAAATGGAGTGACTGGCCCAAGGTCACACAACTTACCTGAAGCAGCTGGCTCTTTCCACTCCACTAATCTATGATGCCTCTAAACATATGCCAAAATTAGAGTGACTTTTCTTTTTTCTCCAGTAGAAATATGTTTCAAACTCATTCAGTGTGTGTGGTCACCTATGATGTTCAAGTTTTTCTTTTCCTGTGATACGTGTGCCCAACAGTGACGTGTTAGAAAAAGGACTGTTGGGGAAATTTAAATTTCAGTTCCAGCAAGTTACTAGCTTTCCTCAACTATATAACAAGGAGATTAGAACAAGGAGATTATCTGTCTGGAGGTGGGTGAGATGGACAACTCTCCAGCCTCCACTAAAAAAATTATTTAGGGAGCTGTAGGGCTTTCCCTGGACACCTGCAGAAATTCAGCTACAAGTCCTTAACAATCCTTCCAACTCTCGTAGTTATGATCCTAAGGCAATCTTTATCTGTATTCAGTATTTGTTAGCTGTCTTTATTCTTCAGTTTATCATCTCGCATTTGGTTCTCAATTTCATCCTTCATTCAAAAATTATTATTGATGGCTTATTATGCACCAAGTACCTTTCGATCCGCTTTCTGTAGTATCCCTCTTGCGAGGGAAAAGTCATTTACAATTTTACCCCTATCTTCCCAACTTGGGAGTTGAAAGCATTCGCAGCTAAGTCATGTTATTTATAAAGACATGGTTCTTCTGGTTCTTCTCTATCCCTCTCTCCACCAACCCCATTTCACGGTTTGTCCCTAACGGCCGACAGACATAAATGAATTTCTGTTAGGGACAACCCTCCTCCACCTAACGGTGACTCCATCAACACGCCGGTTTCCTAGCTGCTCGATGGGAATTCGGGTGGGGTGTTTTCCAAAGTTTGAGTGGATTCCACTGCACATTCCTCCACCTCGGAAAGGCATAACTGGCCCGGCGTGTCACCTCGGCAAGGACGCAGGTAGGTCGCGGGGCCACATCTCTGTCCTTAGCGGGCGGTTGTTAATTGATTTAAGACTCTCCCCCAGCCGCGAGGTGACCCTGGCAGGCGGAAACTTCCTCGCTTCCCCTCCTCAGAACACAGATGCAACATCTACCCTTTTTCACTCGGCAGGAACTTCCCCCGGCCTTGGCTTTCACTCCGAAATAACCAAGCCGGCTCTTCGCACGCTCCCGTCGTCCTCCTCCGTCCGCAGCCGCGCGCCCGGCCCCGCCGCGCGTGTCCTGCTGGGCAGCCCGATTCCCGGCCCGCGTGCCCTTCAGCGGCTCCCTCCGCCCGACGGCCGCGGAGGAGAGCCGGGAGCGCGCCGACGGCCTGAGGACGAGCGCGAGAAGCACGGCCCCGCGCCGAGCGCCGGAAGCCGCGGGGCTCTGGCCTCGCGCGTCGCGCGCGCCGCCTCCTCCCCCTGCGCCCGCCGTCGCGGCCTCGCGCGCGCGCACTGACGCGCCGCCGCCGCCGCCGCCGCCGCGGCTGCTGCTCCGGCTGCTGCAGGGGGCGGCGCTGGCTGGCGGCTGCGCTCGCTCCAGTCGGCGAGCGGAGCAGCGAGCGAGCGTGTGTGTGTTTTTTAAAGATGGCCGGAGCGGCGGCGGCGGTGGCCGCGGGAGCAGCAGCTGGAGCCGCCGCGGCAGCCGTGTCGGTGGCGGCTCCGGGCCGGGCCTCGGCGCCCCCGCCGCCCCCGCCCGTGTACTGTGTGTGCCGGCAGCCGTACGACGTGAACCGCTTCATGATCGAGTGCGATATCTGCAAGGACTGGTTCCACGGCAGGTAAATAAACCCCCTCTAGCCCCGCCGCCGCCGGCCACCGACCAACCGCCGCCGGCCGGTCGGCCGGCCGCCGGTCCGCACCTCCCTCCGGTCCGGCCGCCGCGCCGCGCACAGCGCCCAGGGGGCCCCAGCGCGGAGCCCCCGGGCCGGCAGCGGGGCGCGCGG